AGAACCAATTCCTAACAACAACCTAAAGTGCCCAATTTCTTCCACATCTACCGATTGTCCGTCGTCCACAAAGATGTGTCTTTCAACATCACTTGGCTTTCGGTAGCTCAGGCAACCCTGCATAGAAACACTTATGTGAGTAGTAGCACCAGAGTCTAACCACCAAGTGTTTCTAGGTACTGAAGCTAAATTAACTTCAGAACAGACCAAAGCAAGGAACGTACCCTTATTATCACGCCAGGCGTGATATTTTGTACAGTCCTTCTTTACATGTCCAGGCTTCTTACAGAAGAAACAACCCTGATTATCCTTATGTTGTTTCTTCTCAACTGGACCCTTAGCAGCTTCCTTATCATTCTTCCTTTTCTTGCCCTTATCCTTAGAGGCATAGGCCAAATGAGCACTTTCTGTCTTATCTTGCTTCAACCTGTCTTCTTCTTGCACACAGTATGAAATGAGCTCATTTAGAGTCCATTTCTCCTTTTGACAGTTATAACTGACCTTAAATTGATTAAACTGTGTAGGAAGAGACAACAGAACCAGATGCACTAATAACTCATCACAAAGATCGAGTTTAAGTGCCTTAAGTTTTGAAGCAATATGAGACATTTCCATAATGTACTCCCTGATGTTTCCCTTGCCCTTATACTTCATCGAAATCAAGAGAGCTAAAAGCGTGCTTGTTTCCACCTTATCGTTTTTAGCAAAACGCTTCTCAATTTCGGCAAGAAAATCTTTAGCCTTAGTAATCCCTTAGGATTCTATGCCCCTGAAGGCTTCCGGAACGCCACGCTTAATGATCATAAGACTCATGCGATTTGAACGCTCTCACTTCTCATGCTCCTTTTTTGCATCAGGAGTGCTTTCCGCATTGAGAGGTTGGGGTTGTTCAGTTCTTAATGCATAGTCAAGATCCATGCAGCCAAGAACAATTAATATGTTCTCTTTCCAAACCTTGAAGTTTGTCCCATTTAGCATGGGAATTGAGTTGATGTTAGCAGAAATTGTTGCAGCAGATGCATTAGCTGAAATAAAACAAAAATACTCACATCAATAACCATAATCAATAAAATTCAAATAATGACAATCCCCATCCAAGATACCGGCACAACATTAATATCAAGTCTTTGGACAGTAATATTAACTTGTAAGTGATACCTTGTTGCAATGATCAAACATTGACAATAACTCATGTCAAATAATGAAACTATCTTTGGATCGATTCATTATTCACATGTAAACCTTATAATTGTCACACGCTTATCATCGCAGATGTGTATACAGTCTAAATAAATATTAACCTTCCTTTGGGCCGATTAAATATTTACACGAAAGCATACACACAAACATCTCACATTCCTCATGAACAATCTACACAAGAGAGGTTACTTTGGCAACTTCTTGTTTCAATTAATCAATTGGAGTGAGAGACAACCTTAATACCTTAGTGTCATAATATTTGAATTAAATAATTGATTAAAAACCGAATTAGATTTAAATTAAAAAATTTAAATCAACTGAATTTCCAAAAACTTAATTGGGGTCTCACAGCTTAATTAGGGCCCATAACTTAATTGAATAAATTAAGTATACCAAAGTGGACCCATGAAAAGCTGAGGATTAACCATAGTGAACACGAAGTTCGCTTAACTTCGAACGCGAGGTTCGACTGTATTGAGTACGAGACTCACTTAAGCACGAACGCGAGGTTCGTCTGAGAACGAACGCGAGGTTCGTTTAAAAAAAATGAACGTGAGGTTCAACTTGAGAACGAACGCGAGGTTCGTTAAAAAAAATGAACGCGAGGTTCGACTGAAGCACGAACGCGAGGTTCGACTGAAGCACGAACGTGAGGTTTGACTTAATTGAGCATGACGCTCACCTGAGTTGAATGCGAGGTTCACCTTAGAACGAACGCGAGGTTCGTTAAAATTGAGCTTGACGCTCACCTGAGTTGAACGCGAGGTTCACCTTAGAACGAACGCGAGGTTCGTTAAAATTGAGCTTGACGCTCACCTGAGTTGAACGCGAGGTTCACCTTAGAACGAACGCGAGGTTCGTTTGAAGCTTTCAGCTTAGCCAAAATTTGAGGTAACCACCTCCTTAATATTCGGCACGTTTCACGTACGAACCCTTAGGGTTTCAAACCGAAACCGCCGCCGACAAACCAAAAAAAAAAATTCCTCGATTTTATTTTTCAAAATCAGATCCAGACCAAGAAAAATTGAAGAAAAAAATCCAAAAAGTTACTGTTCATCGATGATTTTTCAGTTACTGTTCATCCGAAAAAACCTTTACTGTTCATCCGAACAACAAAAAAATTACTGTTCATCCGAAAAACAAAACTGAATCTTTAACCAGAGATTTAAGATCAAAAAACCCAATAAAACTTAAATTCCTAAGAATTAATCAAGGTGGCTCTGATACCACTTGTTGGATCTAAACCAAAACTTGAGATCTAAAACCATATAACCATGATTAATTCAAAGAGATTAACAAGAATCTAAAAGGGCGGAAGTTTATACCTGAATCCATAGAAGAAATCTTGATTTGGGTTTTAATGATCTTCTAACCTTAGGGTTTCTCTAAATCCGAATTTCTCTTTCTAGATGGGGGTGTAGAGAATTAGAGAATGTAACCCTAGGTTAGGGACCATAACCCCTTATTTATAGATGTTGTACTTTTGTAATTTAGCCCCTCAATAAATCACAATTACAACCTGGTATCTGCACATATAACCCCATGACTTATTTAAATACCAAATTAACCCAACTTAATTGATCACTTTAGTGGGTTATCCTGAAAGATAGCAATACATATTTATTTAATCATATGTGTCCACAAATAGATTTATTAGATTAAATCCAACAATGTGAACATCAATATTCATTTCATTTGATTCCAGTCCTACTAGTAAGCACCATTATCTGAGATTGTTGGGAAGCTATGTACAATTAAGATATGGAATATTGCTTGGTTTAGAGTTAATTGTTGCGTATGGTTCTTCCCCTTTCTATTCAAACAAACCACTCCCTTTTAATTAGGTTTTTTTTCCAAGAAATCACCTTAATAATAGCATATATGGAAACCACTTTTTATTTTTAATTTATACAAAAACCACCTCTTAATCAAATTTTCGCTGAAAAATAAAAATAAGCTTTAAAAAATTCAAGTTCAAGGTACGTGAATTGTATCCTAATAAGACCTAAACACTAAATAAATGAGTCATGTACTTTAAATTCTATTTTTCTAAGGGTAATTTTGGATTTTAAGTGAAGAATTTGACTAGGGGTGGTTGATTGTAACAAAAAACCAACTTTAGAGATGGTTTATACATAAATTAAAAATAAAAGGTAATTTTCATACAATTACCCTGCTTTTAAGGTGATTTCTAGGAAAAAATCGATCTTTTTATAACATAGTAAAAAAATTCAAACATTCTATGTAAGAGCATTTAGGACATGTATTGTATGGTTGTATCCGGATATTTTCTTCGAAACAACCTTTTTAATTTATCATAATATTGTGGAATTTAAAATTAAAATAAGAACTTTTCCAAGAGGAACACATTAAGGGGCTGTTTGGTTAGAATTTTTTTCTCTTGAAAGCCTGCCAAAGTGTCACTTTTTGGCAGGCTTTCAGCCCAAATCATCTCTAAAAAAGAAGATTTTGGTTGAAAGTCTGCCAAAAAGTGATATTTTTGACACTTTTGATAGACTTTTAAGAGAAACTTTCTCTTAAAAACAGGGAACTAAACAGCCCCTAAGTACTCTTCTTCTCACGAGGTGACCGATACTTGTCATCACACATGGAACACATCATTTGACCAAGTCCTTCTCAACAGTCAACACGCGAGGATCAATAATTCCTTAATAAAACAAAATCCCTTTGGGGCCCTCTTTAAAAAAAATAATACACGAAGAAGGGGAATAAAAGATGTGTTAATTAGTACAAATTTCAAAGTTGATGTTCTTCAGTGGCGGGGTCAAGACTTTGTGTCAGATGTGTCCTTATGTATATCATAGATATATTATGAATCATTATATATTGATATTTTTTATACTTTTTTCTCTTTTAGTGGTATCCTACCATTATTTTAATGGTGTCCTAAATAGTAAATACAAGTAAAAATGGATAGAACATGTATAAAGTAGACAAGCATGTGGTGACACTACTGAACACTATGTGGCTCCGCCATTAATTGTACTGATAATATTTTGATTGTTGACGACACCAATACATTATTATTCTATTATATTGATTAATTGGACTAATTTAAAAATGATATAGCATGACATGAATCTTCTTACTTTTGATATGATTTCGGAGTGGTTCTCTTTATAGGATATTTTTACATAATGTTTAAATTTTTTGGAATATACATCATTTTTATATTCAAATAATATTGAAAATTTCAACATGTAAGATCGGATAACTAATACTTTTAGGTTGAAAACTACCGACCTCCAATTCCTTTTCTTCCGGAATGTGAATTGGTGGGTATACAGAAGCTCACGATTCACATATATTATTTAGGTTAGTTGATATATATGTATGAACGTTTTAACCAGCTAGTAATTAGAGTCAAATTGTCGCCCTGCTTTCCATAACAAACAGTCTTAAACCTCAATTCTCGATCTCAAGTGGATATTGATGTTGTGCAAAATCCACATAAAGCATAGAAACAAATAGGATGAACATATGTTTGGAAACATTGTCAAAAAACTGAGGTGAGAATCTCTTAAATTTTGGTATTGTTATCATAAGCACGCCATATATCAATTCCTACTATTTCATCCAAATCTCAGAAATTTTAGCTAAATGATCTTATTTGACCCGCAAAACATAAACAACGTTTAAAAGAAGAGGTCAAAATTAAGTTTGAAGCAAGAAATTGCATATAATTATATCACTTACATATATACAAAAAAAAAAAAAATCTATCGTTCAATATCTTCATCGATCTTTTGGAAGATCTAATTAATAAATATACAAAATAATTCCAACAATGAATCCTCCTTTGTATAAAATTTTGAGAATACAAACTTTTCCTCTAAAAACATACACAAACCAAACTAAAAATTTGAAAATGAAAAATTAGCTAAGAGAATACAACCCATTTAGTAGAAGAGTACTTGTCTTTCATTGTCTTTGAGTGCATCAACTCCTTATCATCCCCCTCGTCTTTCCTCTTCACCAAGAATTTAGACCAAAACTTCCTCCTCTTATTATTATTTTTCTTCTTATCTTTCTCTTCCTCTTCCTCCATCACAAAAGCCAAAGACCTACTCTTCTTCAATGGCTCCTTCTCCCTCTCATCCTCCTCCTTGTTAGTAGCAAATACATAATCCAACTCCGATGATAATATCGGAGAAAGTGAGGTCGTAGAAGGATTAGAGAGATTCGTAGTCGAGGAAGACGAAGATGATGTGATGTTTGAGAGCCTCTCTCTTAAGCAAAATGGGCAGACCCCCTTTGATTGCTTGTGGCTTGGATGTTGTCTACAATAGCATCTCCTATCCATGGTCTCTACTATAGATCTTTAGAGAGGAGGCATCTTGTTTTCCTTCAGCGTTCAGGTATCTTTATATATAGGTGGAGAGTAGTTTAGTGGTTGATTCTTGTTTTGCGCTTGTCTATTATTGTTGGTGTTTTTTTTTTGGTCTCTGTTGCTTTATAAAATGAAAGTGCTGATGTCTAGAAGGGTGACTAGCTAGGAGCCACAAAGAAAAGGATTGATGAACAAGGAAATTGATGGTAATTAATGTTTATGTTTGTGTCTGTTTTATTAATTGTTGGTGAAGAAACTGAGCTTTTTAACTCCTATTGGCATCTGACTATTTTGGGTAAGTTAGAAAATAAATATTCCACTGAGATTTGCATGATTAACAGAAGACCCTGCGGCCTTTAGAATTGTAGCACTTCAACCCCTCGTTTTGAATCTATAGTCATTAATTTTTAATACAATAACCATGGATATGTTTGTATAAGAGTGCATAAGATTATCATGTTACATTTTACATCGAAGTAAATTTTATAGGAATTAAAATGGAGGGAGTAAATTGTCACTTTTAAAACTTTATAAGGATTTCCTTTTAATCATGCAAAGGTTTAGGGGATTTTCCGTAATTCGCCCTTTCAAAAAACACGGTCGACTTGAATGAATTCTACTAGCAGTGGGAACAGAGCTGGCCGACTCTTACTCGTTCATATGTTCAGTCAACCAGAGATTATAAGTACGAGGAATTATGAAAATATTATTAAACCAATGTGAACTATTTCCATTAATGTAGTATTAGCGTATTTAATTTCCAATAAAGATTCCACTCTTCCTAATCCACTTCTACTATATTTTCATTTAAAACATTTCTCTTTGATGATGATCGCCTGGTTTTGGCTATAGGAGCTATTTCTAAATAAAATTGAAGGCATGCGGGAGAGCACGAAATGAAACTTTACTGATTCTCAAGGCATGTAGCAAGAAATATATATATAAAAGACAATGAATTTCCTAATTGGAAAATAAATGATATTTTTCAATCATCTTACAGACTTCAATTACCAATTGATAAGGGCAGGGTTTCATGCTGCGTTATCAATGTCATCAAGAAGTTTCATTTTATGTACTTGACTAGATGTCATCATCCGCCGATTCCCTAATCAATGACCTGATTGAATTTTTATTACATTGTAACTGGTTCCAGGTAGCAGCCATACATTTAATTAATCATATCTTCAAGAAGTTACAAACCAAGAAACGCAAAATATATTTCTAAACTAATTTTATTGGTGTTAGAATATAAAATTGTATCTCACAACCCTCATCACAACTTTGGAGTTTTAGTGTAATTGTTGGTCACTTAAAATGGTATTAGAGTAATCTAGCTTCAAATCTCATCAGCCACGAATTTGAAGTAGATTTTCTAAGAATTGATATTGTTGTGAAAGTGTAGGTTCCGGCCAATAAAATAAAAGGGTGGTCAACCTGTAGGTGGTTAGGGACTTTAAGGATTGGACGGTTGCATGTACAAGTATTTGATGTGTAAAATAAAAAAATATCTACAATTTATGGTGTGCATATCAAAAATTCCTATAAAATTGTATCTTATTTATGCTAATTCTACGGGAGCATGAAGGGACACAAATTTGTTGGACGATACACGCTGTAAATATGTGGATCTCCAGTTAAGACCTTATTTACAAGTTATTGGTACGAAAAATTAACTAATGGAAGAGGCATGCTGTTGCCTGCCAATGCTGCCATGCGTTTCTTAATTCTTATTATATATTATGCTCCAAGATTTCAACTTTGAAACTTAAGTCAAATGTAAAATATATACATATAGTACTTTTTCTACTTATTATTATGAATTACAATGCGAATTTGATGTTGGGAAACAGGGGATTAAAAAAAATAGGGCAAAGCCCGCAAAGGTAAGGTAAAGCATCAAATTTATCACAAAATGTCAGACGAACAGATAACTTGTTTTTAATTTGGATATGCAAATCTTGTTTCAGTTTAGATACGCATTTCAGCATATACATAAACAAGATCTGCTACACGTACGTATCTGTCACCTTGATTTCAAATGTAGAGTATCTACCAAACCGTAGTTGATGGAGAAACAAAGGTAAAAACGTACAACTGAATTAGAATCTCTACACGACTTGAAGGGTGCTAGAATATAAGGAGTTTCATTGACGGATTAGCAATTCTTTATGTACATGTAAATTTGTAGGCCACTTAATTTTATTAGCTTAGATGAAATTATATTTGATATTTATATACTTGCTTTTTACAGAGTACTCACTATTTTTCTTGGATTTATAAATTATAACGGTCATGCTACCGTAGCAAACAGTAACTAAATCTAACCTGTGTAATGCAAATTCTTGTGTACTATGTATAGGAATTTTTTCAGAATAATGATGGGTACTGCCGCTCGTGTTTCATTAACAAGAATTTAACGAAACCAACCCAAAACTTACGAGAAGAAAATAATCAAAATTAAAAATTGAAAGAAAGAACAGAAGCTATACAAACTGTGGTGAAAAAAGAAGGAACAAAATACATGCCATAGCAACCACACATATAAAATAAAGTGGCTGACAAATTACACATGTACTTCATCCCGTGCCATCTTGAAATATAGAGGGTGATTGGGAGGGCTTGTCTTTTTAAGCTTATAGGCTATGCAAGCTTTTGGTGGCTTTTTATATGAACTTATAAGATAGTTTTTTAAAAGTTCGTAAATCCCAATTTCTTAAAATGTGACTTAAAATATAGCTTATTTGAGATGCAACCAAGCATTTAGATAGGGATGTCCATATTAAACTCAGAGTCCTTTTCTTGACCTAATTTAAACCGTGTGTTAACTGTTGTGACCATGTCGTACAGTATGGAAGCTCACAATCTCACCCAACTGTTGAATCAATTTATGCGCTCCGTCCCGTCCCTGTCTGCTCACTACGTGTGGAACCCCATCTTAAGCTCTCTATGTGGAAATAGATGTATACTTTGTAAACTTTTCGGATCCATAATTCAATAACATATGAGATGAATTTATACACATCTCCCCCTAAGATTATGTATTACGTTCTCGGATGACGCGGGGCCTTTTTCACCATTGTTAATTGCAAATACTAGATCCAAATTAATATTCAGTGATTAGTGATGAAAAACATGATGCGGATATATTTCTGGAGAAGCGGGACTGTCAAAAGCCCAAACGCTGGCCCAACCGAAGAAAATAACTTGCAACAAAAAACAGGTCATATCTTTCAAACCGTACGTCAGAATTGACCAAATTTATATGTAAATCACGCTTTTTTTTCGAGACCCGGACAACCAAACCTATTGTTGTTAGGTTTGTCGTTGTCTGTTTAACGAAATTCCCTCCGGATTGAGAGATATATGAGTTTTTATCAGTTTTTTACTATTTTAGGTAATGTTTTAAGAGTCTGATTTGATTAGGAAGCAAATCTGGTTTGATTTCAAATTTGACCGATTTACTTCCCTAATCTTAGAGAGTCTTTTAAGAAGAGTTTTGTTATTTTTTTTTAGTAAAGTTTGAGTCATAATAGGAGTCTTATTTACTTTCTATTTAAGCAGAATATTGTAAGCCCTAGAGACATAATTTTTTATCAATAAAATTCCTCTTTAATATTTTTTTGATGAATTTAAAGTTTTTAGTGGATTCCAAGAACGTTTTTTGAGAATTTAAAGAACAACCTTTGTTAGATTTCGATATTTATCACTTTCGCGATTGACGCAGTGGTGTCACGGATAATCCTTAAAAAAGGCACTCTAATTGGGCTCACTAAACCAACTATGTTGGTTGTTGTACCTAATGTCACCTTTTTATGAGGCAGGTTAAGGAAAAATGTAGGCCATTGGGCCGGACAATGGGGAATGTAACATGAATATTAATTTTCAAATATTATTTTCATCTCTCTTTTCTATTCGTTCCGTGCAGCACGACCCCCATTTAAATATTAATTTTCAAGGAACATGCTTTCTGGATTTATTTTTGATTGCATGCACACCTATTTTCATTCAAAAAGCATGCATATATAGATTATCTTTCTCCATGTATTGTCTTTCTCCATGTATTGGGAGAATGAAGAGCTGATTTTTGGACTTCTCCATGCAACGAATGTGGTGTACCCAAGAGGCATATCCTCCCTATAAATAAACAGGAGATGGTGAAAATTAACAACAAGAAACAAGAAGAAACACCACATACAACCTGTAATCCTCAAGTAAATTTGAGAGAAAGTGATCCTCAAGTTAAGTTATATCAATTTGAGAGAAGATCTTTTGTAAGCTTTCATTTGATTATAGTGGAAACGGTGAAGAATGGACGGGTGAGGACGTAGGCTCAAATTTAGCTGAACCTTGACAAATTTTGTGTGTGTGCAATTTTTCTCTCTGTTTGTTTTTCTCTTTTTTTTTTCCTTTTTTTTTGGTTCTCATCTCATCACAAAGACGGGAAAGGTCTTGTTGTCCTATTTATTTTTCAACAGTGGTATCAGAGCAAGATTGTTAATCTTCTTGTGTTGAGATGGAGACTCCCATAGGTGGCGTTCGAATAATCAGTTTGAATGGCCGCAATTGGATGATATGGAAGGCAAAGATGATGGATCTATTGGGTATCAACTCAAACTCCAAGTTAGTATAGTGTTTTTAATTCTTTGTATAACTTCATGAGATATAAATAGGGTTAGAGATCTATCATGATTAGGAATTTGAGTTTTATCATGATTTGAAGTTTGAATCTTATTCTAATTAGGAAGTTAGGCTAGAAATAAAGTTTTGGTTTCCCTATATATATTCTTCTATTGTTAGAGAAAAAAACTAAGAAGTGTAGAGAGAGAGAGAGAGAGAGAGAGAGAGAGTTTGGCAGTCTTGGTCCGTGCAAAAAATTATAATTTGGAGGTGATAGTGGATTAATTTTAATCCCATGGTTTTTCGCTGTTGAGGGTTTTTCACCTTAAATCTTGTGTGATTTTATTTGCTGCGTTTGGCGGCTTTTCAGGGTTTTTGTGAGATCTAAAAATCCTAACAAATGGTATCAGAGGGGGTTTGACGGTTCGTAGAGGTTTGATCGGTGCGCGATTCGTGAAGGCGTCAGCGGTCGAAGCGCAGTGATCGACATTGGCAAAAAAGGTTACTGTAGAGACGATAATGTAGTGGGGGTACTGTTCACGTGGGTCCAATGGTTGAGATTAATTTGTCTTTTATTCGAGGATTTGAAGCCGAATTTTGGTGATCCAGGAGTCATTCCTAGGGTTTTTCAATATGTTGAGTTCGTTTTTTATGTTAGTTTTATCAAATTTAATCTCTACAGTGACTAATTTGAATTTCGATTGTGGTTAGAGGATAATAACTTCTTTGGGACCGAAGTTTGATATCCCGCTATTCAATGGTAAGACAAATTTTGCAATATGGTAGTACACGGTTCAAGATATTCTTGTGTAGCAGGGTATTGATCAAACTTTGGAGGAGAAGAAACCTGAAGGATGAATGATGCTGAATGGAGTTTCATGCAAAAGAGGGTGGTTAGCATAATTCGTTTGGTACTTGCCCTCGAGATCAAGTATAATGTTATGCAAGAGACCACACCAAGGGGGTTGTGGGAAAAGCTCGAGGGGATTTATGCGTCAAAGTCGATGACCAACCGATTGTGTTTGAGGATGGAGCATTATTTGTTGAAGATGGAAGAAGGACTGTAATTCAAGATCACATCAATGCCTTTAATCATCTAGTTTGCACACTTATGAATATTGATGAGGAGATTAAAAATAAGAGCGGGCGCTACTCCTATTGTCTTCCTTGCCGAAGTCGTACAAGCCATTAGTTCAGACGATAATTGTAGGGAAGAAAACTTTGAAGTTCGACGATATGACACCACTCCTACGTGAGAATGAAAGAATGATAGGAAAGATGAGCGCATCTAATAGTGGTGAGAGTACACTAGCTTTTGAAGATTCTAATCGAGGGAGGAGTAAGGAGAGATATGACAGTTATCGAGGAAGGTCAAAATCTCAAGCCCGAGACGACAGTGAAAAGAAGTGCTATTATTGCGGAGAGAATGGTCATATTCAGTTCAGATGTTCCCAGATACGTGATGATTTGAAGAGTATTAAACATATAAAGTTTCAAAAAATGGAAAGAAGGTGGGCTTCGACATATTTGGGTCATCTTAGTCATAGGTTGCCGACTGTCGCGTTTAGAGATTTTGGATCTGGTGGAGCTACTTCAGATATTGGGTTACTTCGAATATTTGGTCGCCCAGCATATGGTCACATCAAGGATGTGAGATTTGATCCAAGTGCACATTTGGGATTCAGAGACGTGTTTGATTATCAGGTATTGGCTTTTGATTTTATTCTGAGCAGGTATGTCATATTTGTCTCTCGACAGGTGGAGAGTGTTGATCAGATCGTTGGGATATCACAGCGGGTGGGGGTGATGTTACTTCATATTGGGTGAAGATTACTTCACATATTCTAGATCATACTACATCGTTTGAGATTCTAGCTGAGGTGACACAGTTTGGGGATCATGTTGATTTGGATGCAGATGATGAGTTGGTTGATACGAGTGCAGCTGGTGGACATAGTTTGGATATGGACATGGTCGTTGGTTCACCTCAGGTGAAGGTGTTTGGTTTGTTTCACTTTGGGGTCATTGGGAGAGCTATCAGCCGCAGATTTATTGGTGAAGAGTGAGAACTCTTCTATTGGATTGAGGACCTTTAGAGGCCATTGGGTGAACTACGTGAGGCTTGATTCTTTGGACAAGAGGTTACGTAGGCATTCATTTATGATGCAGCCGATTTGGTGAGTTAATACTAACATTTGGAGTTTGTTCGCATTCTTGTTTGGGTTCTCGACTTGTTGTGGATTAAGTCCATTGTCATAAATTTGTTTCACTTCGTACTGGACATAACAAGTGGGACATTTGGTTTGGTTGGTATCAGCTCAGTTTGGGAAAACTTCACCGAGGTGAATAATTATAGAAACGACGAAAACATTGGAGAAGATCAGAAAATTTGATGCAGACAGGCATTTGGGTGCTTGCTAGTCGACCACGAGCTTTGGCACGGTCGACCGCAAACGTGCACGACTACAGGGTGTTTTTTGATTTTCTGACCGGTCGATCACGGCATCAAGTGCGGTCGACCGTGAACCCTGTAATGTATTTTTTGGTTTTTGTCGTTCTGTCCGGTCAACCGCGACGATTTCGACGGTCGACCGCCAGTCGGGTTTGGGCCTGATTGCGGTTTCCTGTTCTGTTTGGGATTGCTGTTTGATATAAATAGCAACCACGTTTTAGGGTTTCTTTGGAGCAAACAAGGGGGGTTGTTTTGGGGTTATTTGAGCACAGAAAAGAGAGATCTTTTTGATCTATTGGTTAGGGTTATTGTTTGAGAGATTGAGAGTTTTGTTGGTGAGATTAGTTGGATTATTTTGAGTGATTTGTAATCTCAGTTTGTACTCTCATTCTCTATTAGTGAAAACACATCCCATTCTTACCCCCGTGGACGTAGACAACTTGCCGAACCACGTAAAAATTGGTTGTTTGTGTTTGTGCCGTTATTTTGCATTGTTTGGTTTTCTCTCTCGGCGTTTGGTTTGGTTCCTCGAAGCACAAACGATTGGTGGCTTCCGCGCACAACAAGTGGTATCAGAGCCCAACACCAGCTTATAGTAGAATTTAATTGCCTTAGGGGACTTCTAAGCTTTCATTAATTTTTGTTAATTAATTTGTAGTGCTTTATTTCATTCAAAAAGGAAAAGGAAATTTCGTTTTCAATTTTTTTTCTAGAGTTCTCAACAACAACAAACTTTCTCACTTAATTAATGATATTCTAGCACCTTTGTTTTCCTATTTTCGCCCCTCGTAAGATTGCTTTTAGGACTCTAAAAAAACGTGGTAATTACAAGTCTTAGGCGTCCCAATAAAATAATTAATCCTAGATTTCTTACCGTTCGTTAGGAGGATTAAATAATTAAAGCCAACAGCTTCGGTGCTCCCAAGCAGTTGGTGTAGTTTGTTTCCTTAAAAATCCCTCTCACATCCTAAATTTGAGGGATAAGATAGTTGACAGTAGTTCCACACCCAAAAAAGTAATTTCACTTAGATAAAAAGGTTATTTTAGGAAGTATAAATGAGAAGATAAATAGGAAGTAGTTAGAATTCTCCAACTAATGAAAAACTCTCGGGATCTTTATTTTTTTGACGTGGTTTTCTTCTCCAATCCCCTAATTCATTGAGCGGATGGTCAAACCTAATGGAAATTAATTTTTGATATGGTCATCGATCCTATGAAATACTTCATACGAGCGTCTTCTTTCTCTAGAGTATTGAGCCCGAGATCATGAGTGTCGCCACCGGGCCAATCTGACTGGAAATAAATTGTTTTTGCATGGAGGAACTGTATGTATGAGCCCGGCATTAATTGGCTTTCTCTTAGGCCTTGGGAACCTTCATTCGATTAATTTTCAACTAAACAACTGAGATTTTGAATGAACATGATTGCTTTGTTTAAGTTCATCAACATGGTTGATGGTCGATTTTCTTCGGATCCAATTTCCTGGTATCGCATTCAATCACATGTTAGATCTCTTGTTGATATCTTTATTAAGGAATTTTCTTAGCGTAATTCACCTATGATTCTATTTAAACGGATTTATACGCGTTTGATGGAATTCTGTGGATGAGAAATTGGTGGGGACGAAGATTTTTTTGTTTTTCCAAATTTACCCTTTTTTAAAAATAAATTAATAAAAGATTTTAGGAGCACCAAAGCAAAGCCCATAATTAAATTGAATCAAACAACAACTATCTAATTCTATTATAATATTGAAAAAACATGTCCGTTTTTTCCACTTTTAGTTACAATAAAATCTGAATTATAACCTTCCAACACATTTACCTTTCTCCTTATACATAATACTTTCCACGAAAAATAGTATATGAAAAAGTGTAAACTACACTAGGCTCCTAAGCAATTTCAGCTATTTGCTGTAAGCCACCAGTAACTTCCAAATTCGTAGTTAACTGATCCCAATAACTTGCGCAGAAAATCTCCAATATCTTTTTGGATAAATTCCACTAAACCCCCAACAACAAAATGTCCCTTGCTGTCGTCCTTTGGTTCTAATTTGTACGGGCTATCGCAAAAATACAAAACCTTATTGGGTTTTGCTACAATATCCAAAAGTCATTGTGGTTTAGTGCGATTTGAAAGTGAATGGGGGCTTACTACAAAATGCTGAACGTATTTTGGAGCTTTGTGTAATTTACCCTAGCTAGAAAAAACCCAATCACCTTGTACAACTTCTTTCAATCTTTTTCTCTAGCATCACTTATTATTTTCTTTTCTATATGTACAAAATCAACACAAAGAAAAACAAAGTATTAGCAAAATCTATGAGAACAGCATCCACTTATTAGCGGAAGACCTCCCCTTAACTGTCTTAGAGTGCGTCAAACCCCCATCCTCTTCTTTCGATCTTCTCCTCAACAACGTAGACCAAAACTTCCCTTTCTTCTTCTTATCCCTCTGTTTCTCCTCCTCCACCACAAAAGCCAAAGACCTACTCTTCTTCAAAGGCTTGCTAGTACTATTCAACCCTTTAAGTAGAAAAGAGAAGCTTTTTGTCTTGGTCATAATCTTGTTATCAGGAGGAGATGCGGTGGCGATGGAGGAGAGATTAGAGTCTGATAACGAGTAAGGAGACAGCGAAGAGCAAGTAGTTGAACTCGAAAGGTTGGTGGTTGAAGAGGAGGAAAGGGTTGAGAGATGAGATAACTTTTCTCTTAAGCATGATGGGCAAACTCCTTTGGATTGCTTGTGGCTTGGATGCTTCTTGCACCTTTGATCCATAATTGAACTTCCCCTTCCCATGATAATAAATTTCGTTAGCTAGATTAATTTCTCCCAATTGAACTTGATGAGTGTTGATTATATACATAGAGAGAGAGGCCAGGAGAGAGGAGGAGGAGGATATAGGGGAGTTTCTAGGATTCTTCTTCTGTTTTCAAGTGCACGTACTATTTCTTTTTAATTTGTATATATATTGGTGTTTGGTCTTGTTGTCGCTTTGATGGTCGAAGGGGGGCTTCGGTCGGTTTTGACGTTTGACAAGTAATTGGGCGCATACAAAGATGACTTTGCTTGGGTCCATGTTGAAATCTGAGTAGACTCGGAGATTGGACGACAAGTATATATCATCAGTAGCTACGTACGTTGAAGATACGTACGGTATCGATCGATCAGAACAATATATGTGGGGTTGAGTCTTGCTGTTGAACAATAAACCCCTCTTTAATTAATTTGTTGGTCCGGTTCATGACTAAAGAGCTAATTGCTTTAAAGAAAAGAACTATTAAATACTAATTGACTTTTGTATGACTGATCGACCTGTAAGAACCACTATTATTAGTCTCCGTTTATTAGTAATCTAATTAATATATGATCCTTCAGAACCGCTATTATATATATTATCAGTCCATATCTGCTATTAATCTAATATGATCATTTAGGCTCCATACTCAGACCCAAGACCTGCTTCCAAGATATCTCTTCAACACATGCACACGTGGCACTCCAGTTCAATAGAAAACCTAGCTTTCTTATGAATTAAACTATTGGTCTATATACATATTGATGCTCCTTTAATTAGCAATTACTGCTAGATATCTCTAGTTTTATGTCAAAGCACGCACGAGGATGGGCCTAGTCGACCCCTAATTAAAGACACTCCCAGTGCAATTATAATCCGACTCAATTATTCCTTTTATATATATATATATCAAAATATATCAAAATTAATTTGAGAGTAAAAGGAGTATGCAAATTAAAAGAAAGAAGAAGACTCCTCTGATAGCTAGGTTGCCTACCACGAATACATCATTATTGTCTATTTAAATCTAAAACTAATCGTGGTAAGAGATAAAATTTAATTGTGAAAACTGTTAACAACAAATTAATTATAAAAAAAAAACACAAATAAGGTGAACCGGCCGGCCGGTTCAAATAAGTGCTCCAAGCTCAAACCAGACCAACTCAGACCACCCTAATTAACCCAACTTCAACCCTAATCCGGGTAATCCCACCAAAACAACCAGGTCAAACGTTACTCCAACTTGACGCTCGGACGATTGCAACTTCTGAGTCACTTCCCTGAAGTTGAACGTACTTTTTGTTCATTTTTGTCGTACATTACACGTGGGGTCCATCAAAATCTAGGATCCACAGCCGTCCGTTACCATCATCAAGCGATCATAATTAAATTGCCGAAATACGTCGCTTTTCGCCGACGAAGAGCGGCAACTTTTAATATATAGCTAGCGAGCGAAATACCAAAGAAACAGCCACGGAAGAAAATTCGCACATATAGTTGCGAGTCAGACATCTCCGCGCGTGCGCGTAGGTCACATCGTGTCCCCACACATGCACATGTGTTCTTAATTAGTCTAGCTAATGGACCGGCTCCACACGTGAGAGTACACAGGAAAAGGACGCGACGACCCTTGGCATGCACGTGCGAACGCGTTAGGAGCCGGATGTGCTACTACATCAAAATTCAAGGAACAGTGCTCGCTGTTCATGCCACATCATCCGAAATTCTCGTAATATCAGGATCAAATTACGTACATTAAGTATTGATAGTAGTTATTATGTGGACCAGTAACATTGTTTCGTTAAGTCGGCTCCGCAATTAAAGAGAAACGTCGCAGCATCTACTCCTCTCATACTTACGTAGGGTATGTTCATGCTACAGTAAATATTATAGTAAAAATACTATAACTATTGAGTTTTGGTATCCTCCTCTAGATTTAGGAGAGTAAATTTACTGTCCGTGCTACAGTAAATATAGTTTTTAGTTTAAACATACAATGATTAAATTAAATATATTAAACATTAGAGGGAGACAGATTCAAAATACAATGCTTAAAAAAACAGAGGGTCGTGTTTTGCACGGGGTACGCACTAGTGCATATAATGAGAAAATATTATTGATTCATTATTAGACTTATCCACCGCCATTAATGATGTAGAGGGTTCATATTTGTCATTTGTTAGTTAATACGACTTAATTTTTTTTAATTAGCAGCAATGAAACAAACAACTAAAAGCAATATAAAATGTTCTAATTATATGCAACTACAGTTATAATGTTAATTAGTGCGACTTTTTTAATTAGTAGTAGGGAAATAGCTGAAAGTAACCTAAAATGTTCTAATTATAGGCAACTGCAATCCTGATGCGACTTTTTTTTATTGGTAGTAAGGAAACAGTTGAAAGTGAAGTTATTGTTAGGATTGTGTCTTTGATTCTTTGTATAACTTTATGAGAATTAGATAAGGTTAGAGATCTATCATGATTAGGAGATTGGGTCTCATCATGATTAGGAGTTTGAATCATATTCTAATTAGGAAGTTAGGCAAGAGATAGGGTTTTGATTTCCCTATATATATTTTTCTATCGTTGGAGGAAAAACCAAGGAGAAGGGAGATAGCAAATATTCTTGTAATCTAGGGTTAACAGAGGGCGTATGCTGATTTAAGAATATTGTGCAAGAGGCGAGAGTTTCGTGGTCTTTATCCGTGTAAAAGATTACAATATTGGGAGAGAGTTTCGCAGTCTTTATCAGTTTAAAAGATTGTAAGGAGTGGTTTTTGAAGATAATATGAGAGTTAATTATGTATGTGGGGTTGAGAGATTGAGAGACGAGAGTTGAGTGGTTTCTCTTATAGTTCTCCCTGATAAATAGTGAATTTATCGTATTGTTGCCTGTGGACGGAGGTCGAAGTTGCTCGATCGAACCATGTAAATCTCGATGTTCTTTCTTCTTGATTGTGGTTATTTTATATATTATTGATTGTGGGTTAGCTTCTAAGTTGTGCAAATCGTAGTAGGAGGGGAGACTAAATTTCCCCAACAAGTGGTATCAAAGCTAAGGTGATGGATCCGGGAGCGAGTTCGCAAGATAGAAGACGACGTCGTGCCAGATTAAAGATGAAGAAAAAAAGGCACTGTAGCAGAGAATACTATAACGGCGGTGGAATACTGTTCACGTGGGTGAGGGTTTTGTTGGCCTTCTTGTTTTGATGATGTTTAACAAACAATTTATTACTAATGTTGTTTGTCTAGTGTGTTGTGCATGCCTATGATTGTTATAGACAAATCAGACGTAGCTTGCGAGATGGATGGATTGGCGCTTTCAACGATCATATCCAAAGGAGGTTTGGCGGAAATGTCGCGTGAAGCCTTGCTATTCAAAGTTCAAGATCAAGTTAAAGCTTCATCCGCGAGATTACCTAGAGAGCTTATTGAAGATCAAGATCTAGCTTGCGGTAATTTAGTTTAGGAGTTTATATTATGTGTGTTATTATACTCTAAGCTCATATATCTATACACACACATATTATGGCGTTTCTTCGTATAATATATATATATAGTCATATATATATATATAAGTTTTGTTTCTATGCAATATATATAGTTTATATATATACATACGTATGTTTTGAGTTTTTATGCGTTATATATATGAAATTCTATATTTTCATATTTTCTATTATGTTTTTGAAACATTGCATTAGAATATGCAATTTGTGTGAAAATATTTGTATCTTAGTTTATAGACTTCAATATCAGTTTATACATGTTTTACTAAGTCTACAAAAACATTTCACAAAGTTTTAAAAGTTGGTTAAGTCAAAATATCAAAATATCAATTTTCATATTTTCATGTTTTGGACTATTTTTTAAAATGATGATATTTTTTTCATTTGGGAAGTCTTTTTCCGAAACCAGTCGTTGTAGCATGTTTATTATCATGTCTACAATCATTCCCCAAAGTTTTACATTTTTGGAATTTGTTTGATATTTTTTAAACAGCTTTTTAAAATCAGCAAATCAGGTTTTCAGCTGTGTCAGATTTCGGTCGACCGACCCGCGTCGACCGATCAGTTGTTTTTCAGCATTGGCCGACAGAGAGTCTGTCGGTCGACCGGCTCGGCTCGACCGAGAGCTCCATCGGTCGACCGCACCCGTCGACCGAAGATGCGTCAGCTTGTGGTTCTCGTTGTTCGACCTGGATAACGGTCGACCGAATTTCCGCTCGTCGACCAACTTTTCCATTCCGGTCGACCGAGCAGAATTTATCGGTCGACCTGGACGATGGCTTTTACTGTTTCCAAACGGCTAGTTTTGTACCGTTGGCTTGGTCTTTTTGGTCTTTTGTTTTGGGTGTTTTTGCTGAGTCTCTTAGAGGGTATATATACCCCATTGCTGATGTTTTAATCTCTCTCCC